GATTCTCAATGGCATCGCACGTAGTATTTACTACAAATACTTAAATCGTACTAGAGTTTCGTTTAATGATGAAATATACTTTAAATCTTATTATATAAAGACAATTGTACTTTGGATGTGTGAGCAGATTGATTTTGAAAATGTCTTAAAACACTTAAAAGATGACGAAGAACTGATTGCTATTGAATTAACAAAACGCTTTCTTGACTATATGTCTCAGCTACTGAGCAGTTATAACTGTCGACATTATTTTATCTCTGATATTAACTTATTTGAGGAGTATCCTCCTGCATTCTTAGACAGAATTGCTAATATTTTAAAAAATGAGGTGCGCTTACCAAAAAAATATGAAGAACCAGCCGAAAGACCATGCGAAGGAACATGCTGCCGCTTTTTAAAAGTTTTAATACAAACACCAGAAATGGTTAACGAGTTCGATCAGTTACAAAATGAACATTTCGATTGTCGTCTGAAACAGTTTGTCTCAAACAAATACGATCACGGTCTAAAGATTCTGATGCTTACATTATATGCGACATCCATTGATTTAGAACTATGGTGGACTGAATTTCGACGTGTTGTTCTTTGCAACAACACTACAACTGCCGATCTAGACGACATTACGTTTGATATCGATGGTATATCTATAGATGATATAGGATGTTGTTTAAAATTTCTATCGGATGTATTACAGATGGATTGGCTAGTGATAAAACGTATGATTTCAGATGACAGTAATTTCATGGAGTATTTAGCTAAAAAACGTACTCGTCTCATGAAATTTGGTATTGACTACAGTGCTAAATGGTTTACAGAACAAAGTATCAATAACATGAAATCAAGCATTTTTACAGAAATTATGTTGGGCGCTCAACCGCCAGATGAAGATAGACCGTTATTTGACAAACTGTTTCATAGTGGACCAACACTGAATAGCAAACGTCATTTATGTGAAACGTACAATCTACGTATAAATCCAGATGAACGACATATATTCAGTAAAGAACAAGTACTGAATGATTACTGGCTTGTACAAGTGCCCGATATCACCTGCTACGTTCTGACAGTGATTGCCTGTGGCTATACAAATGTTCGATTCATTTTAGGCGATGATGTGAATGCGTTACAATCAAGAAATTTTGTTAGACGCACAATACTGCCTTTGCTTAGATCAGTACGATTACTATGGAGAAATATGTTTCATCGGCATGTATAAAATAAAAAACCGAAGATTTTTGCGATAAAAGGTCATTTCTATAAGATTCAGCGTAGCAGAAATTTTATTTTTTTGCGGATGATAATGCAGGCTTTTCTCGATGTTTGTTATGGCATTCTGTTCCTTAACTTTGGTTGTCAATCTAAATAAAATTTCTTAGCTTGGACTTTTACAGTTATCCATCGATGTACTGTTCATTTTTATTTAAGGAATATTTAAAAAATCGGCTTCATCGATCCCATATGCATTCAAAAGCGACTTTTACAAATAAACATAACGTCTTCTTAACTGCACAAGTTAGGCTGAAACTGAATCGAAAAAAAACATGAATGATATCGCTCTGCACAACACACGTTTTGAAATAGACGCTGAGTACAAAATGAGTGTAGATTTTTTTAGATGAAACATCATTTGATTTGAAGATTCATTTGTATTTGGTTGTTGTTGAGTAGAAGGAGAAACTATTGGTTGAGAGGGAAGCATTGATTCCCTAATTGTTGTATTGGTAGCAGCAGTTTCTAATTGTGATCGCCGTTGCTGTTGTTGAGTATAGTGTGAACTCCGATTGTTATATATCTTAATGGTGATGCTACATAAGGAGAGAAGAAAAATTAACGTGTGAAGTTGTTGTTATTGAATCATATGAATAATTATTCATTCTTTCGCCTTATTTTACTAATGCTTGAAGGTCTTCGGCTTGTCTTGTTATTTGCAAAAAATTGATCTGTTGTTTGAGGATCTCTTATAATAACTCCCATTTTAAGAGATGCAAATAAGTTCGTCATAAGATATTGTACTTTTGTTCTTTCGTCCATATCAGAGTTTGCATCTTGACATAACTGTAAGACTTGTGTGTGGTATTATAACACCCTTGATGAATTGCTTGAGAGTATTATTGTAGACGTTGAAATGATTGTGTTACATAATGTGTACAGGGTGACCCAAAATTACGGGATATTTTTTCATTTCGCATTTCAAATTCA